CCAGTCTGCTGCCTCTAATCTGTAAGGGACCCAGAAAAATAGCAATCAGGAATTACAATAATTAGTAAAATGTTTTGAGAAACAAAGCAAGAAATGCATCAATCTACAGACCGTATTTTTTATAAGCTAGCAGTAAAAGCTATAGAGGAACTCATTACAATTTACTGCGACAGAAAACACGAGCATTCTCACACATCTCATGAAAAACAGAAGTAGCCATTATTTTTCAATCCTCTACCATTCTGTGGGCCATTTTCAACACAGCTAAGCAGGCATGGAATTCAGGCTGTAATTTTCACAGAGACCCCAAGTGAGTTAATGGTCTAATCTTTATTGAAAATTCTGGTCTTAACTTTGATTTGCCAATAGCAGTAACTGCTCCCATAATAAAATATCATAGTCAGTGATCCTTCAGTGCTTTTGTTCCTTAAACTGGCTTACGTTACTCGCTTTGACATTTCAAAAAGTAAAGGAAAAAAAACCCATCACATTATGTTGGTTTAGTTATGTTCTTCCATTTGTGGGCATTAAATAGCAGCACCATAGCTCTGCCCATAAATCAGAAAAAATGCAGACATCTGAACAAATCAGCCTACTGAAAAAAAGAAAAAAATCATGTATTACAGCTGCAAAAAAGTAAATATGGACTTTTTTTCCTGTGCCTCCAGGAGGATCATCACAGTAAAAATAAATACAGATGCTAAAACCAGAAGGATTATACAAGTTAGAACTGGTATAAGACTATGCATTTTATTAGCATAATTTATATTCTAACAGGGTCTGGTGTTGAGAAATACAAGGAGTACCCAGCCTCTGACAGGATAGGGCCCTGCTGCATTCTCTTTACCACAATGAAATTAAGGTTAACCCTATCAGTACTCCATGGACTTCTTATAAATACATCTGGAGCATCACACAGAAATGATCAGCTTATAAAAATGTCAAATGCTGCTCTGTATTAATGGAATCCAAATAAAACATACTAAAGAGAATATTCAAGCTATAGATGGGTGGCCATTCACATAACCATTCACATGACTCTCGCAATATCACTGGAGGTTGGACTACTTCAAATCGGGCCACAAATTTAGCCTGAAAAAAGAGTTCTCTCAGAGTGACAACAACCTGCCTTGGTTCTCATAATCACACAAACCCCATTCAATACCCACATCTCTTGGGCTGATATTTCTACCCTCAAAAAAATAAAAAGCTCCACTTTGGGAACTTGCATACGGACATGCACAAACACCAGTAGGAGCTCCCAAGTCCCTCGGGTGCCAGCTTTGAGCTATGAACCAGTCACTCTGCTGCTTTGGGAACAGTCAGCAGAGAAGAAAAATGCTATACATTGATTCTGACAACCGTCCCGTAGGAATGCATTTCCTCATCCTGTTTCCACACAGCCCACATTTTACTTCTGCAGAAGTCAAGGGATTCATATTTTGCAATGTAACCAGCCAGGACAGTTGGAGGAATAGTGAACAAGCTGTGAGCTCAGGCCCTGCCACAGAGCTCCACAGTGCAGCTCCAGGAAGCAAGGCACTGCCCCTTTTCCCTCCTATATGATGTATTCCTCAGCTTTCTCCAAGCTCCTCTCTCTTTACATCAGACCGCACAGTCAGTTCTGAGAAGGAGTTGTCAAGTCCAGGGCAGCACTTACCTCATAAGATCAAGACAAACATTTCTCCATCAAGCAAAGGGAAGATGACATTCTAGGGCATGGGAGCAAGTTGGCTGCTTAAAAGCTCAGAGAGGTTGCTGCCAAGTCACTAGAACAAGAGGCAGAGACAATTTTTGGGCTTCTCCCAAGCTGATGAATGAGAATGGGTCAGCCTAGGCAGCCTTCAGTCCCAGCAGCCTGTCCTGTCCTCCTCCACAGCTGCACACTCTTCCACAGTGAAAGACAAAAAGCGCTGTGCCAAAAACCTGTCTGTGAACGGCTGTAAAGAACTTTTGTCCTGATGTTTTTTAATAATTAACTTGCTATTAAAACAACAGTCCCAGCAATGGACAGAGACTGCTTCACCGCTCAGGAGCCCGTGCGTTGTGTCCACATGCAGCCGGACGCACACCCACCCTGCGGCTGCTATTGCGGTGCAAGCACCAGCTTGCTACCGTGCCTCAGTAAAACTACAGCAGAAGCAACAAAATGGACATCGTTCGCTGGACAAGCGCTATTAAATCAGCTGCAATACCCAGCCCTGCCGTTGGCAGAGCTCAGTCTCTCAAATCCCTTGCTGTCAGCTGAAACACCAAGCGCTCTAAATTTAGAACAGGCCCCAGCTGCCTGCAGAGTCTTGGGCAACTCTCTCAGCTCCTGCCTCCCCTCCTAAATAGGGTAGGTAATAACATCGCCCTGCTTCATGGAAAGAGGACAGTATTGATTAAATGTTGTAGCAGGGGCTGAAGCATCCACTCCAAAGTCCTTCCACTTGACAAAGTAGGAGTAAATGAAAACTGCAAGGGAATCCATTATTCAGCCTCCCCTCAAGCCTGAAACAGAAAATAACGACTGGTCCCCATTTTATCCTGGGAAGAATTTTATGTTTACATACACTGCTAATTCACAGAAGGCTACCAGGTACTAGAAAAAACTGCTGATACCGCAGCCCTCAAAGTCTTAATCTGCAGAGTCCTCTTCTGCTTTTGCACACAAAAGTAATGTTATTTTCTCCTCCTGTGCAAGTGTTAGTGTAGATTGTTCCTTCACTGATTTTTCCAAAGAGCTGCATTAACAGAATTACACCGGTCACTTGTCTGGGTTAGCTCCTTCCCCATACCAGTATGCGTGGCAATACTGTTCTTCACATCAGGAAAGCCAGCACACAAATTCTAAGCATGCTGTACGAAAATACTAGCTTTAGGCTGCTGCTGTTTTATTTATTCTGTAGGCAGGACTGTAAGTGTAAGACAGAGACAAACTATTGATTTCCTCAGTATAACACCATGGATTTGAGGTCATATAGGAACATTAAGAGCCTCAGATTTGATCATTCACAATACAATGCAATTTCTTAACTCAGTAAAACTGCGCTTGAACTAGAGCCCATATTTTAGACTCTGTTTTGATCTTGCAGACAACTGTGGTGTACCTCCTGCATCAACCTACAGTATGTGACTCAGAGGAAAGTTAAATTTCCTGATCTCTTTATTAAGAACAAATAAAGCCCACTGCAAAACAACAGGCTGAAGGAGAGAGGGAATCCTTCCTGATGCTTTTTCACTATTTTTACCTCTGAAGAGTGAGGACCAACACTCTCTGTGACACATTTGTCAACATAACAGCGCTGATTGCTTTATGAATAAAACCATTTTTTTTTCTTTCCTCCATACCCACATGTTTATCAAACTATCAGCCTTAACAACAGCCAACAACAGGGAATTCTACAAGATGATGATGTGGAGCATAAGAAACGCCTATCTTAAACCTACTCTTTAATACTTTCAAGTATTTCTTCTATTTCTTCCATGTTCACAACAGGTCTTTAGTATGTCATTATTTTAGAAATTGCTATCATTTCCTTTCTTAAGATCTCTTAAGTAGAGGATGTCTTTCCTTTCCCAAACTGAATCGGGGTAAGTGTCCACAACCCCTCTTCATCACTGCTCTCTCCCACCTTTCTACCGCTTCTAATAGTTTCTGAAACCAAAACTCAATATTAAATTCACGTGAGATGAGTCCATCAATTTATACAATGACATGACAGTATTTTCTAACTGATTCCCTTTCTAAATATAGCCAAGTATTGTATTTGGGTTTTGAAGCCCATTACATATTAAGTAGATGCCTTTATTAATAAAGCTGTCATGTATGACGTGTAGATCTTTCTCCCAAGAGGTTACAAGTAATTCAGAATCCAATAATGTATACAAGTAATTTTAAATTGCCCCTTCTATTTTAATTACCTTGCAAGTTAATTCCATGTGCCAGCTACAGCATGCCGTCCGGCAACCTAGCTCTTTTTAGAAGTGCACCTGACAATCACTCACAGTGTTCATTAATTAATTTGGAGCCTTTCTAGAAAGCAATGTTGACAACTTATCCACTCCTCGTCCAGGTTATTGCTAAACATACAGAATGTAACTAGGTCTACTGTTAATTGTAATTTAATTTTGATATTTTGTGTAGTTATTTTTAATTTTTATTTATTTTTTGCTATTTTGTTTTTCCATTGCAGAAGAAGCTGTTTATTGGTCATGTACCTGATGACTGTTAATTCATGGCAAAATTTTGCCACCTACCCTGTGATTTTCAAGCTCCCTTAGTCTTCAGTTGTAAAAGACTTTGTTTGACAATTTTGATTGAATAGGCAGGTTATGCACAATTATGCCCTTGTTTTGGGTTTATTCGTGTAAGACTTTTTTTTAAGAAAGATTATTTTAAGTATAAAGATAATTCAGATAGGCAATCTTGCCCTTACAACAGAAATACCAAGAAAGCACAGGAACAAAGGTCAAACATAAGTAAAATCTGAAATGACAAACAAAAGCTTTGTTTATTAAACTTTTATACATTTACCTTGGCTTTCCACCTGTACACGTGTGCTGCAAGGAGCAGCTTGGGAAGATAACGAATTGTGTGCCTTTGCCTAAGTACACCTCCTTTGTAACAACATTAATATGGCTCTTAAATTGTAAACACTTTTTAAAAAAATCCCAATCATTCTGATGAGTGTCCCTTCCTACACGTTTCTAGTAAGGCTCATTCGCTTCTTTCCTTTCTTGTGGGGGTTTTTGGTGTTCGGTGTTTTGTTTTGTTTTTTTTAAATGGCAGATACACTTGGTAATATCTGTGACCTTGAGTTGTACACATGAGCAAGCAAGAGCACCCAGTCCTGCAAGGCTGTTTATGCATTCTGAGAGCTCCTTCTGAGACGGGTGTCTCAAGGAAGACAGAAGCATGATGTGCATACCAAGCCAAGTGCTTCATGATTTATTTACAGGGAAAAGGGGCATAAAAATTTGCTGAAGGGAAAAGAAAAATGAAGAATCTGACTTACCTTGTCGGTGTAGACGAAGAACAGAATCACAACAGTGAGCTCCAACAGAAATATAATTAACAGCATGATAAAAAACTGTCAAGAGAAGAAGGGACAGGGGGGAAAAACAAAAAGCAAAAAACATCAACATCTATTTCAGCTTTTTCTGGATGCACAGTAAGTACACTCAGCAGATCATGCAGAATGGGGAGTGGGAGTCATACAGGCAACAAGATGCAAAGCTGCTGTGTTACAGAACAGAAGGCACGCGACATGCAGCAACTGAAAAAGCAGGTAAAGGACTAGTTGGGAAACACAACAGTATCGGGACATACACATGGCTCACATGCAGTAGAACAGCATAAAATCCCACAAAGATCTGTCCCCCCAGCAGGTCAGCGCTCTATTTGACAATAACCCTTGACAACTCTTCCCAAGCTAGGTTTTCTTTATTTTTTTTCCCCATCAGATCTTTCCAATTAACAAGATATCAGTGAAATCCACAGCTAAGACTTCCCATTGCAAGAGAAGGTAGCCTGGATCACAAACCATAAAGTCATAGCTCGTTTCAAGAGAATTGGGGGAGAAGTGAAAGGCATACCAAAAAGCTTGTATAACAAGTTAGCTTTACGAGCAGTTTCGGGTAGCTACACAAATCACCCATGGCTTTCAACTGAAAGGGGCTGATTTGTACTGAAGACATCAAAGCAAAGTCAGTCCATCTCTTTTTCTCCTCATAAGCCATGAACTGTCTAAAACCCAGTAGACAAAAGCTCAAAGGAGTGGATAAAAAACTTCTAACACGGGGATTTCAGGTAGATTCTCTAAAGCCCGCAGCTCTGATTGACTTCAACGAGAGGAACTGTTGGCAATGCCAAACATTTCTGAAAAAACATAACCCCTGCTTTTTGTTAAGATGCTAGACAGGTCTGCAGCACAGGTCTGCAGCAGCATCAAGAACAAGTGCTATCAGCACTTTAAATGAAACTGAGTTTTGCAAAGACGGGTAAAAGAGAGTAATTTTGGAAACTTTTTAGGCTCAGGCAAAGGTCCTGCTCCCTAAAACACAAATTCCATACACTTAGCAGCCTGCGATGCTGGAACTCTAATACTCAGTAACACTGACTTAATTGAAATCCCATCCCCAAGAGAAAAAAACAGTTACCATCTCTTTAGCTTCAACTACAAGGCTGCAAACCTATGAAAGTTTAATAGCTACAAAGCCTTATCAGAGCTTCTTCACTGCCTGGTAAGTCATAACCAAACCTTTGAACCTATGGATTTCTGTGACTGAATGGAGAGCAAAAGGTCAAGAAGGGGAAAATACCTTTCTCCACTAGTACAATTATACCATCTACAGAACTCATTGCGTTTTGCCCTGCGAGTCTTAAACTAAAGCTTATTTTCAAATCTTCACACCTGCCTGACCCTAATACTGAATCCTATTACTGCCCAGTTTTGAATCACAGAACTCATTCACACTCATAATCCAAGTTGATTTCCCCATCATTATCATCCAACACTGACCTTCTGCATGGCTTTGCAAACCAGCCTCAGTGCAGCTTGCTTATTTTTTTACATTTACCATTTTAGTCTGCTGCATAGCATTAATTGAAACAGGACAAAAGCATATCACCCTCTGCAAAGATGCACACTTTGCTATATTTTATTTGGCTGCAGGGTACTTTTTTGCTCATCCATAAGGCATGGTTTTTCCAAAACATGTATGCGAACACCACTGTCTCCCTGTGAAATTCACTGGCATAGCCTGGATTACATCAGGTAACTCCTAGAACAAAGAAAGGACTCGTACCCATTATAAACAGTGATCAGCATTTCCTATCAGAGGACCACAGTTCCATCAACTTACAATTCTGCCAAACCTTAGTTGTCTATTCGTATATATTCTGAGCTTTTTTGTCTAAAGGACAAAAGCTTCTGGAAGGACTTCAAAAATAGCACTTGAATTACTTCTAGGAATGAAGCAGGGCAAAGTATGCTATTCGGCCCAGGTTAAATTTCTGGTGGTTTCATTTGAAATCCTCTCAGGCTCCGGTGTTCAGAGCAGGGACATGAAACAAAGCACGGCTCCATTTCAGGCACGTGCCTTTTGTCTTGCCCAATTATGAGTGGATTTTTGTGGGAAAGTTATTAGCCTTCAAAAAAACGCATTTCACACATCCCGCAGAGATGAGAGGGCTCAGCAGCTAAAACCTTCAAAGTCTACAACCACAAAAAGCCTACTCGCATCCTTCCCACAGCTCACGCGTGACCAGACAACCCACAAACCATCCCACAGAGCATCTTCCCCACTCCAGTGATGCTCCCACACACCTGCAATGCCTTTCTGCCGGCCCCTCGGAGCCGACGGCCTCCAGTCCTGCTTCACAGGACATGACCTGGAACAGCAAGTGCAGCCAGGAACCGGAATGAAATTCAGGGATCTGTTTTTCCTGTGCTTTCAAGAAAGCTTTTCCTCTTTTCTCTGCACTCACCAGCACGGAGACAGTACAGATGAAGCCAGGGAATGACTGCAGGAGAAAGGAGACCCTGAGGAAGAATGTTTTTAACAGCAGATAGGGAATGGTTTGGTTTAGGATATCATCTGGCTACCAGTTTTAGAGAAATCAGACCTACTGGCAGTAGGCGATGGGGGCAGAAGACACCAGAAAAAAAGGCAGGGGACGCCTGCGGATGTGGGTACCCAGGAGGAGCTATGCCTTGGAGAGGATGGCGGTCTGTGGAGGACCCTGTGCTAGAGCCATAGGAAAAAAAGAGGAAGAATCAAAGAGTGGCAGCAGAAGGGAAGCACCCCACACTGATCCCCATGACTGAGTATAAGGGTGCGGGGTGGGCACTGGAGATTGGCAAGGGGGGAGGAAAGGTGTCTGGAGGGAAGCTGAGGTGTTTTCTCAGGTGTGTAGTTGTCATTATTTCTCAATACCAGAATCAGTAATTAAAAGTTTATCTTAATTGTCATGACATTTCACTTAATTTATTGCCTCGAGAGCATTTACCCCTGCAACACCAAGTCATACAACTCTGCTAAAACCCCCCATCTTAGGGCTGGAGCAAGGAGCTGCTGCTGCCAGCTGTGCCACTGTGTCCAGCAGCAGAAGGCTGTGGGGTGGATCTGCTGGTGAGACCACGATGGTGATCCTGCCTTCTTCAGTTCATGCTAGAGAAATAGGTATGACATTGCCATTGTAAAAGATGCTAAAATTGTCAAGTCAAGCACTGAAAATTTAAGAAATCTCAGAATAAAAGCCCTCTTAGTGATGTATGTACGACATGTACCATGTCCAAGTCTTTTTCCCTACACAGGCTCGGAGGTTCCTCCAAGCTGTTACTGGCGGGGATTTGGTTTCATGCACTGCAAATTGCAGATTTTGGAAGTCATACAGCGAACTAAAATTAATGTACACTGTTCAGAAAGTTAAAATGTAGATAAGTAAGATTATGCTTTTTCTCCACAGAAAAATATTTCTGTTTTTAAATAAAATCTCCAGTTTTATCTTTCTTACTATTTGCATTCATTGACAAAAAGTACACTACCACAGATAACTAACACGTATGAATAATCCTGTTGTGTGCAGACAGTAGAGACATGCACTCTATCTCTTATTGCAAAGGTAAATTAGATGAGGTCAACCTCAAAGTGGAGGGTTCAAATTCACCACCTAGTAAAAGCTAGAATCACTTATATGTCAGCACATTTATCACCCCCCTTTAAAGAAGAACCCTACCTGAACCCAAACCAACATGTCAGAAAGTAAAAATTGAGGCTTCAGACTGAGCTGGCTGCACAGCACAGCCTGCACACTTCAGCACGACTTCTGATCCACGACACTAAAGTGCACACACGGACGCATGCACAACCTGCTCCTCTATTCCCATAGCACCTTCCAACAAAAGTTCACTTTCAGTTCCATCCTCAGTACCATCCCAAAGGGAATGATGCCCAATCTGGGGCCAGAGTCAGCTTGGCATACCCCATTCAAATTTAAAAGGGAGAAATGTAAGTTCACTGAAGGCTTACAGCACCTAAATCCCCACCACACCTGCTGGGAACTCTCGCAGCTCCTTTTCAAAGGAGTTCTCTCACTGTGGTGATAAATACAGAAAAGAATAAAAATGAGTTTTGCTTTGGTTCACTGGGGTTGCAGGCTGTTGCTATAATAAAGATTTATGTATGGCGAAACAACAATCCCAAAGCAAAGCATTCATGTAAAACTCCATAAAAAAAGATTAATCTGTCCTTGTACAGAGGGATGCTTTACCACACTTCTTGTCAAATAGTGGGACGCAACCTAGTAGAGGTTCACTGGAGAGGTACCTACTGCACAGCTTTTCATAAATTACACCTGAAATAATCCCACAGAAGTTCTGAGGAGAAGGGAGGTAAGGTGACGCCTTTCTGTCTAGCTACCACCGCTGATTTCCGACCCTTAAGAAAACTAAGGCCAGCTTCTCAGCAGTTACCTTCATATTCTACAAAGCCCATGACTTTGCCACAGGTTCCCATTAACGGAGTAAAGGAAGCAGGCAATTGCTGTCAAGCCTCCCTCATAGCTATGCATCACCCTCCTGACGTCAGACAGAGAAAAATCTAATAGAGAAGAAGAGATCCTAGCTGGTGACTCCATCCCCATTGGAGCTGTACTAGGCTTTTGACCCATTAGTTTGCTTCCCTTCATCCAGCCTCTTAATATCAGTGGGAGAATCAAGAACTGTTCCCTGTGTACCTCATTTAAAGCCCGTCTCCACCACAGTTCACAAAGGCGCAGAGCAGTAAGTTATTTATATTTTCTTCCCAAACAAACAAGATTCTCTGGTTTCTCAGATGTTATAGACAGGCGCCTCTGCATGATGACTGAGCATCACACACTAATACACAGGATTGGGCCTTTTGCTTCCGCACTGCCTCTCCTTCTCTGATCTTCTCAACAGTTCTATCACGTTGCTCAAACTGCCCATCTCTCCATGTCAGGAGTAGCTGACCTTCTCACAGTCTCCCAAAGACAAAAGTGACCAAGTACAATGACAACCAATCTGTGATCATCTTGTTACTTCCCTAACATTTTGCTATGAGACTA